TGATGCCTGTGTGCATTAGAAGAGACATACAGTAACCGTTTCCCAACCACTCACATTCTGAGGGATAGTCTTAAAGAGATTTTAGAAACAACCATTTACCAGGAAATGCGATGCTGGGTGACACAGAGATTTATCATTGGCCTGCAACTGTTGATTTGAAAAGTAATGAAATGGGGAAATTGCAGCGGACGGAGAAATACAATGCAGCCTACGCAACTCGAAAAGCTCAGAATTCTGGCAGCTAGCCAGTCAACCTCGGCCCATTGCCACGCAGGGGTAACGTGGGTCGAAGAATCATAAAGTGCGTGGGAGGATCTCCGCTCGTGTTGTCTACCCTCGCTACACAGAGAGAGCATGAAACAGGGAGCCTGCTCTCTGCCACAGGCCAAGAAAACCTCAAGAAAGAGACGTTTATACAACTTTTAGGACATGGGAAAAAACGAACTGGTGAACATAGCTCTGCCTTTCAGTGTGCAGCCTAAATACTTGGGCCATAAATCATTCCCTGCCTCACGTTCATAAATCCTTTGAGACCTCAGTGGACAGGGCTCATTTCTTCTAAGAATCTCAGTGCATGCATGAACACACACATACACACACACACACATACATACACACACACACACATGTAAACACCACATGCATACACTGTCTGTATGCCAAATTCACTACATTTACCTCTCTTTACATACATAGTCTGAAACATATATCCCTTTTCTGTGTCTTCAGTACCTATCACATCTGTGGCTACCAAGAGATTATCATGAACTATAAGGCAACTTAACCCAGGCAATACGCTTTTGTTTTTATAAATTTAGAATGTGTGTGTGTGTGTGTGTGTGTGTGTGTGTGTGTGTGCGTGAACTTCAACAAGTGTTTATTGGTTCAGAAAAGGTCCTGGGAAATAAAAGAAAACTGCTTTCCTCAATCCCCCAGAGGCCTAGCCACACTAAGTTTATACACCTTTATTCTCTCATTCGTGTAAGATAAGCATAAAATTGTCACATAGCCTTGGGATTACCTTTCCCACCATGTCAGAGTCAGAATCCCACCATGTTCCTGAAGACTTTATACAAGTAGAAGTTCACCAACTCTGTTCTATTGAAGATGTGGACATTTCTGAAAGCGTCTTCATTTCTCTAGGATGCATGGCTTAGATGCCATGTTTAACAAAAGATTAGAAACAGGGATCTTGGCACTAATGATGCCTACTAATATAGAGAGTAGGGAAAATAATAAGGTCCTTGGAATCACTTCATAGTATAGAGGAAAGTTATCTCCCCTCCGTAACATCCAAATCAAAGTCAAGAAGAGTACAAAGGAACCAAGCATTAATTAATTGATTTTTAGACCTGGACCAGAAACAAAGCAACATTGAACCTGAAACATCTTGTACCAGAAAGTAAAGTTCCAAGGGACACTTTATGTTAAAAGAACAGTAGACCCAATTTAAAGGGGCACTTACTGGCCATATTGGAGAGATTCAAGTATTAGAAGGAAAATGACAAACATTGAAAAACATGTGCCTGCAGGTGACATCAGTAATGAAAACAAGAGAAGGTGAAGGGTGAGGAGGAAAAAAGGAAGAAGGTAGACACAGATGGCTATTCTATCATACACTTGAAAATTCATACTATAAAGGATATAACTTTTGCCCTGATAATTCAGAAAAAAAATCTAATTCAATTCTGGTTGTAAGTAAACTACTCCAGAAGAATTTCAGACCCTAAGTAACTAAGAAACAAAATAATTAAAAACCAACTAGCCTAGCAGAATGGTTGATGAAATTAAGAACACCAATGCATTCCAAACCCTTATAAAGGGGACCACAGGAGACTAGATTATCCTCACATCCCCACAGGACTGTGACACAAATTCCTAACTAAAAACAGTAATGCTCCATTAGGAGAGGAGCTGGGGAGACAGGGCAGGAGGGGTGGGAGAGGGAGCTGGGATTGACATGTAAAGCAAGCTTGTTTCTAATTAAAGTTAAAAAAAAGCAAAAAAAAAATCAAACAAGTGAATTTGGTAAGATCATAGGATAGAAAACCAATACACAAAACCAACCATATTTCTACATTAACACTGAAAGGTAGAGATTGGGATTTAAAAATATAATAATCTCTTACAATGGTCTAATAGAAGAAGAAAGAAAGAAAGAAAGAGAGGAAGGAAGAAAGAAAGTTGGGTTTATCTCTTTTAAGAAGTTCAGTAACTTAAGAACAATTAGGGGATGGAGAAATGGCTCAGAGGTTAAGAGCACTGGTTGCTCTTCCAAAGGTCCTGAGCTCAATTCCCAGCAACCACATGGTGGCTCACAACCATCTGTAGTGAGATCTGGTGCCCTCTTCTGGCCTGCAGGTGTATATGCAGACACAACACTGTATAATAGATAAATAAATAAATCTTTAAAAAAAAAGAACAATTAGGTGATGAATCTCCTTTTACCTATGAAAGTTACTTTATATGGTAAGAGTCATTCAGGTGCCAGTATGATTGTTAGTGGTGGAAAAACGTTTCAATTAAAAGTCAAAAGGGATGGCTGGGCAATGGTAGTCCACGCCTTTAATTCCAGTACCGGATAGGTAGAGGCAGGCAGATTTCTGTGAGTTTGAGGCCAGCCTGGTCTACAGAGTGAGTTCCAGGAAAGGCTCCAATGCTACACAGTTTTACCCTGGCTCAAAAAACCAAAACCAAAACCAAAAAAATTCAAAAGGGAGACAATCGTGACAATGCATAGCCATCTGACGAAGGGGAAAGGGACAAGAGCTCCTGAAAAAAATTGGGAGCATGGGGGGAGAGGGGAAGGTGGTAGGACAAGGTGATTTTTATAAAAATAAAGGTTGTTACGGTGGTTGATGAGATTCTGTCAAATCCCAAATATTAAAAGTAAATAGGTAGCCGGGCAGTGGTGGTGCATGCCTTTAATCCCAGCACTCAGGAGGCAGAGGCAGGTGGATCTCTGTGAGTTCGAGGCCAGGCTGGACAGCCTCCAAAACAATACAGAGAAACCCTGTCTCGTAAAACCAAAAAAAAAAAAAAAAAGTAAATAGATGATTCCCCATGCTGAGTTGCCTTGCTCAGCCTTGATGCAGTGGGGGAGGGGCTTGGTACTGCCTCAACTTAATGTAGCAGATTTTGTTGAATGAGGGGGCAGAGTTGTTGGGGGAAGTGAAGGGCAGTGGGAGGAGGAGAGAGAGGGGGAACTGTGGTTAGTGTGTAAAAATGAATTAAAATTTTAAATAAAAAAATAAAGGACAAAAATAAATAAAAAGTAAGTGGGTAGACTGATTGGAAAATAAGTGCATCGGCAGTATACTCTGGTAAAAGTAACTATTCTCTGGTGTAAGGCTATGGCTGGTTTTGTTTTCCCTTTGTGCTGTCTGATACTTTCCAAGTTCCCTTTAAGGGTTTATTCTATGCTTTCTTTATTTTTATTTATTTATTTATTTATTTTGATTTTTCGAGACAGGTTTTCTCCGTGTTGCTCCGGCTGTCCTAGAACTCACTCTCTAGACCAGGCCAGCCTCCAACTCACAGAGATCTGCCTGCCTCTGCCTCCCTGAGTGCTGGGATTAAAGGCGTGCACCACCACGACCCAGCATGCCTTTAAATCAGAAAAAAAAAGCATTAGATTAAAACTCTGTTACAGGTGTTGAGATCTAGTGAGTGAGGCTTGGAGTTTTGCTTCCTCCTATACCACACGTCCTTGCACCAGGGACCCTGAGCTGGACACAGTTCTTTCTCCCCCCCCATCCCCCCCCCCAATGTGAATCCGGATCCCAAAGACAGACTTCCGCATCAACCCTCCATCTAACACTCCAGGGACCACCCTTGCCTAGGACCCTAAGTGAAAGCCTCTGTTTTCACTAGGCTGTTCTAGCCTTCTTCAACAATGATCCTGCTCTCCAGACCACTCCCCTGCCACTTCCACGCTTGAAATAAATAGTTGCCTTACACTGAAAGACATCCGGTGCTCCTCCCAACATGCTGTGCTTTATAGGATTAGTCTCCATGGAAACAATGTTTCTCACAACCAGCCCAAGTTCCTTTATCACTGCACACATTGTCTTTCCTTTCAGGGCTATCTTTTGTGACTAGTTCTCTACTCATCTGCTTTCCTTATATGTCTTTTACTAAGTTCCCTTAAATAGTTCAAGCTATTACTAACTCTTTTTATGTCACTACTTCAAGAGCTACATGGGGAAAGTCATATGTAAATATCAAAATATCATCTGTCTCATCCCAGACCCTCTTATCCTATTATTTTACATGGCAATCATAAATTGCCCTTAATTATAATATAGACTAGAACCAGGAATATGGCTTAGCCAGTAATTGCTCTATAGTGTTAAATATACACAGCTGAGCTCAATCCCCAAAACCTATGTGGGGAAAAAAAACTGGGTGCGGTAGTGCATAGTGCATGCTTGTAATCACAGAGTGGATGAGGAGAGACAGGACCATCCCTGGGGCTCACTGGCCATCAAGCTTAAGCAGCTTTGTGAGGTCCAAGACAGTGAGAGGAGCTATCTCCAATAACAATAATAGTAATAATAATAACGATAGCGATGCATACTACCAAAAGTTGTCATCTGACTCCTACATAAATGTGTGTACATATGCGGCACATGAGCATGCCTATACACACATAGGGAGAGCGATGTGGACTAAACAGTTCTCATTCATCTTGTCCACATCCAACAGATGGGATTTGGATGAAGTCAGATCATCCCTAAGAAAAATACTAATTATGTAGGGAATTCATACTACATTTTATTGCCCTATGTAAGTACCTCAAGTCAAGAAACAGTGTATGGAGAGAATTAAAATTTATCAGATGAATTTGGGGGATGGATAGGGGATGATTTACATGGAGAACTGTAGGTTCTACCCAGTAATTAGTTAAGAAGACAGGAAATAGAGACCAGGGAAATGAACGTTTTTCTCAGATGAGCAGAATAGTAAGATAACTACTTGGTACAGTGAAGGTGAAGAAATGCTATTCTCTGAAAGTTTATTTATCAAGTGGATAAATGTCGGGTTACACTGAGTTTCAGGGATGGGGTGATGACTGAAGTTACATCCACTGGCCTTTCACACTTTATCAGAAAGCCTTTCCCCAAGATTAAGTGAAAATCCAATCTGACAGGCCATTATTTATCACATAAAGTTCCCAGAGCCATTCTGTAAAGAAGGGAAAAATATTATCAGAACAGATTAAATATAAAGTTATTAAGTTGCTGCCACTATGTGTGTGTGTGTGTGTGTGTGTGTGTGTGTATGATGGTGTGATAAACAAACCTGAAGTCGAAGACCAATGTTATTTTTTTTCTAGAACATTATTTGATATCAGGGACAGGCAGAAAAATAAGCTTTTTATCCTTGCAAACCTATGTCAAGAAACTTATCTTAACCGTTCACTCACCCAAGACAGTTCATACAGAAAAGAAGCTAGATCAGTCTTCAAATGTGTTGCCCCTGAGAGCAAGGTTTAGTTCAAAACTCTCCTTAGCATCCCACTGTGGACAGAACCAATGCTCAGTAATTGTCTTAGTTAGGGCTTCTACTGCTGTAAAGAGACAATAGGACCATGCTAACTCTTACAAAAGAAAGCATTTAACTGGGGTTGACTTACAGTTCAGAGGTTTAGTTCACTGTCATCACGGTGGGACACAAGTAGACACGGTGCTAGAGAGGTAGCTGGGAGTTCCACATCTGGAATGGCAGGCAGCAGGAAGAGAGAGGGAGCTACTCGGCCTCCTAGGCATTTCTGGCGGATCCGGATGGGTCAGGTATTCTGACACTCAGGAGTCACAGAGCACTGAGTGTTATACAGCTCAGGTGGAAAGGTATCCTGGAGCTCCGGAGCCAAGGACTACCACAGGTTGCAGTAAGCTTAGCTGCTTACAGCCCTGCCTCAGGGAAAGGAAAGGCTTCCCCAGTGTATCCGCTCCACTCGGGCTGGAGAGGGTCTTCCAGCTGGGGATGTTCACCTAGTGTAGCAGTTTTGCTCTAGCAGGAGGTTTCTCCGATGAAGTTGCTACAATTTAGCTCTGCTCCTGGAGAGTGGAAAGCCGAGTGTCACAACTCCGCTCTGCCAAGGGAAGGTTTCCCATGCAAAAGTGTTACAGCCCTGCTTTTTCTGATCTCTCTGCTTGCTCTACTCTGCCCAGGGTCGCCTCTGTTCTGCTGCAAAAGATCTTCACTCAAATCTCATTGAAGGGGTTTACTGGGAGGGAAGAATCCAGGAGAGTGGCTGCCGTCTGCCAGAGTGGCAGAGGAGAGCTGAGTAGCAGGAACAGCCACAAGCTGAACAGACACAGGGTTTATATAGGGCTTCCAGGGTGGGGATTGGTCAGATTTTAGTGCTGAGCTCAGATTGGCTAGAGCTCTGCTCAAGGATTGGTTAGTTTTCTGCACAGGATTAGGGTCAGATTTGGCTCTGGTTTCAGGGCCAAAGTGTGTTTCTTTCTCTGGTCCTTTTTAGCCTTTTGGCTCTGGTTTAGGGCCAGGTGCATTTCTTTCACCAACTCAGATTCCAGGGACAAAGTGTGTTCCTTTGGCACTGGTTTCAGGGTCAGGGTACATTTCTTTGGTTCTGGTTGCAGGACCAAAGTGTGTTCTTTGGCTCTGCTCAGGGTGTGTTTCTTTGGCTGCCCCCCCCTTTACTCTACAGGCCTGTTTGGGCTTCTGAAAGCTCAAAGCCCACCCCCAGTGACATACTTCCTCCAACAAGGCCACATCTAGTTCAACAAAGCCATATCTCCTCATAGTGCCGCTTCCTATGGGCCTATAGAGGTCATTTTCATTCAAACCACTACATAGTCAGCCAGAGCCAAGAAGACAAGCTGTGTGTGCTGCAGAATAGAAGGGACCCAAGCCCTTGAGGAGCCCAGAAGATCATGAGTCTATCACAAACATTGGACCTTGTGTTATTTACGCAGTTGGAGTCTGGTTTTGCTTTGATTTGATTGTGACTGTGTCCTGGTTCTTCCCACTTGAAGTAAGAAGGTTTTTTAATTTAATTTTGATTTTTACAGGAACCCATAACTGAAAGACTTTAACCTTTTAAAAGAGATTTTGAGTTTTTTAGAGAGATCGTATATTTTAGAAAGACTAAAATTTTAATGTGTTTGAATTTGTAAAGACTGGGGAACTTTTAAAGGAACTTGTGATTTTAATGTGAGATCTTGGGGACAAATAAGAAAGGAGGGGTTGTGGCTTGACAGTGATGTGTTTGTGTGTCAAGTTGACAGAGGTCAGTTGTTCCACCTTTTCTTAATTAGTGATTGACAGGAAAAAGCCCAGACCATTGTGGGTGGTGACATCCCTGGGCTGGGGAGTCCTGGGTTCTATAAGGAAGCAGCTTGAACAAACCATAGGGAGCAGGCCAGTAAGCAGGACCCTTCCATGGTCTCTGCATCAACTCCCGCCTCCAGGTTCCTGCCCTGTTTGAGCTCCTGCCCCGACTTCCTTTGATAATGAAGACCAGTATGATAATGAACAGTGTAAGCTAAATAAACACTGTCCTCTTCAGCTTGCTTTCTGGTCACGGTGTTTCACTGAAGTAATAGAAACCCTAACTATTACAACAACATATGCATTCACTATTCTGGTCCTTGATTCCCCTAATAAGGGAGAGTAATTTCACCCGTCCCTGGTTGGCGCTACACTTGACAAAATCAATATTCTTATGAACGTGCATACTTCCCAAGTTGACATGGAGTTAACTAATTTTAACAGTAACTCATTCGTTATTGCCACAGCTTCTAATAGTATGCTTTTTCCAAACAGATGGACAATCGGTATTTGGTAACGATGGAAGGAACCAAGGATTAGCTTTGTGCAGGTGAAAGTATTTGTCTTTAGTATTTGTCTCCACTTACATCAGCTGCCTCTTTGATTGCATTTCTCAGATGATAACCAATTTGGAACAATGAGGCAAGAATATTTTTCATCTGTGAGAGTGTGCGCATCAGAAATTCCAGCATCCCTGGCCCCACCTACTAAACACCAATATTTCTCCCAGCCCCAATGACAATCTAAATGCCCTGGATATTCATTAGTGTCCCCTAGCGGATGCTATGCTCAGTGTTCCTTGGGCACTACTAGTGACAAAATGGGGTTATCAATCAGCAGTTGAGTTTTTGCTTTTTTCCTTGAATTACTATAAACATTATTCAAAATACTCTTAGAATCTGCATCAAATAAAAAAGAAATGCACACAAACTGATTATCTAACATGAATTGCTAAAGTTCGACATGCTAAATTTGTTGATTTCCTTTCTCTGGATGAAAGCTACAATTAATTGACTTTATGCCTTAAAAAAAATGATCTTGAACATTTCATACAAACTCATGTCCCTAATGTCAGATGGTTATAGTTGAATAGCTAAGCAAGAAACACCAAAAAGGTCAACTGAGCTTTAATCGTTACAAGAGAATCAAGTGCCAGCTAAAGACAGGGAAAAGAAGATGCATAGCCTACAGAACCACGGGAGGAAAAGCAATCCAGGTCTACAGCTTGCAGTCTGGAAGACTCTGATCCCATACATTGCACTGGTAGCAATTAATGACCATTCAGGTCTCAGATCAGTGGGGGTTAGTTTTGTCAACCTTTCCAGTCTAAAAGCTATTGAGGGTCACAAGTCCTGCAGAGTCCTGACTTCATGACTTTGGATTCTAGCTTTGCATTTGCCACCTGAATATTCTTGATCAAGTCACTGAGCCCCACTTTGCTCATCAGTGAGAAGAATATTGATGCTCTTAATGATAAAACAGTCTTAAAATTGTGTGAGTTGATGTATATGAAGCATATAACAGAGACTGACTCACCATGGGTGACTCTACTTGGTTTGTTCTGTGCACACACTCCACTTAGGAACACTTCTTTTAATGCAATCCTGGAAGTAGGGCAATGGGGTGACTCAGACTGAGTTAGTTTGGGGTGCATGTGTAGTATGGCAAACTGTCATTTCAGTAAACTTTTAGAGAGAATCCCCTATTTGTCATCTTATGTTGTGCGTAGTTGGAGACACATATGAATAAAATCAGATTCATTATGGGAAAGACACACAGAGTAGAAAGGGGGTTATGTAATTTAACATAAAGAGCCACCTGCATTGCATTCCTAAGCAACCAAACTCCTCTGAAACTGATAGAAGGAAGCTCTGGGCACTAACTGGGGCTCTTCAGTACCCTCGCTCCTCCATCAGTGGCCCCATTGTCAATCTCAGCAATGTTATGTCCTCCTGATCCAAACTGAACAATCACTTTGCTTTGAAAAATCTTAGGATAAGAGGCCAAAAACCCAGAAACATACAGTTTGGGCCCAACCCCAGGAACCCTGGGATAAGGTGTTGTTAGTGGCCTTGTGAAAACCCTTCTTGCTCCTCCCCACCAGAAGAAAGAGCAACCCCTAGGCCTAGAGTTACTCATTAACTGTTAAGTGATCCCTGTCATGTCTCTAATTCTGATTTTACCCCCCTTGATTAAAGTAGAAAAAATAAACTCTTGTGAGAAAATATGAAATGTTCAGTTGGGAATTACAAGATGGTGTTCATAGACTTGTCTAACACAATACACACACGGTGATTCTTGTCTGTCTTTGAAAAAATAAAGGACAACTAGAAATCCTTACTGCTGTACAAAACACAGGATGGAAAAGGGGTTGAAGATGAAGAAAAATGGAGAATCTAAAGATAAAACAAAACAAACAAACCAGCACCAACAACAAAAAATAAGGTAGAAGGCTTGGATCACAACAATCTGGACTCACTGTCAGTACATTCTATACCTGGCCCCCACCTGCCACCTTCGATGTCACCCAGCAAGCTCCATATAGCACTCATTCCTATAAACCTCCATCTAGTTTTTCCTAGCAGTGAGATTCCTACATGCTTTGTTACCTACAATGACATTTAAATCCAGGGATCTTCCTAAATTCAAGCACTGTACATAAACATTCACAAGAAAGCAGAAATGTGACTTTCCCCGAGTTGATCACACACAGCACCTTCTGAAACAAGTACAATTTATCTTCTACAATGGAAACTTCTCTTTAAGGTTTTCATTGTTCAAGGAAATGGAGACTGCCTTGTACAGAGAGATGAAGGCGTTGGAGACTCCATTTCTAACTTGAGGAATAAAATTTGACAGAAATTTCCTTCTGTTGAATTCTAGGAAGGAGAGGAGGGAGATATAATATATTATTGTCATTAACAACACCAAGACAAGCAGATATCTTCAGATATCTTCCTTTCAGATCCCATAAGAGATGGTGAGTGGGGAGGTTCTGCACCACAGACTGAAGAACAATGGACCTGATTACCATGTGACATGTGTGACATATGGGATGCAACAGTACTCAGCCTATCGCAATGACGAGGTGACTTCCTGTACTATCCTTAGCCCTCTGTTTAGGACCTGGATACCTGGAAAGACTTTGCCCTGCCTGGGAGGTGATTCTTTCCAACCTTAAGAAAATCAGAAAAAAATTACATAAAACAATGTTTCAGGTATTGTACAACAGGAAGCTCATGGTTGTGGTGGTCAGAAGAGGTAACTGACAATGGTCCACCTTGCTGTCTGGAGACAGAGGTCAAAGTTCAGGGAAATGAACCTAAATCTATCCATACTCTCTCTAAGCTAAAGAGTCAGCGTGTAAAAACATTAAAGAGCTGGAACTAGAAAGTAAGATTGAGAAAAGGGAATGATGCAGAAAGACAGAACTCTAGAGTAGAGTCTCCTCAGGTCTGTGGTTGAGTATAGATGAGAAGAAAATTACTGAGGTTGGAAAAAAACATTAGAAATCTGCTAACTTCATAATTCTAAAACTTATGCTGAGTTCAGGGAGGTCTGCGATCCCACCAGACAAAATGT